TGGCCTGCAGGATCGGGCTGAAACTGGCTCTCCGACATTCTCGAGGGGTCCCAGATTGCGAGAGGGCACAGGCCAGGCCGAAGGACCCCACCGGTGCACGATTGGGCCGGGGAGGGACTGTGGGAGGGCTCCAAGGCATGTCTGGCCCATCTCGCTCAGTCCCGGTCAGCAGCAAGCTAACCTACTGTTTGCCCCCTGGTGGTCAGTGCACGTCAAAGAGCCTTAGCATATCATTAGCATATTATGCTTAGATTGGTTAAACAGTCGACTGGTCACCAGACAACCAGACACTTAGTATATTAGGCTTTTATTATACAGGATGATATGCAGTCTTTTTTTTTCTTTCTATCCTTTATTGGAGGGCCCCACATCTTCATGGGACCCCAGCCAAACCAGAAAGCAGATGGGTCTTCCATTCACAGCAGGAGGCCGAGAAGGGGAGGGGAATGACTCAAGATCCCACCACACCTCCCTGGAAACAGAAACCACCACAGCAGACAGACAAGGGCTGGGGAAGAGAACGTGCCTCACTCTAGGTTCTCTCCCCATTGTGCCCACTGGAAAAGAAAGTCAAACACTGGTTACACAGCACCCCAGCCCTGCCCCACCCATAGCAGCGTTGGTGGGACTCCCATCTGCAAGGGGCGGCCCCCAGGCAGCTTCCCCTGCTCTTCCTTCACTTTGGTTTGCTCCTGGCATCTTCGTGCCTTCTTCCTTCCTTCCTTCCTTCCTTCCTTCCTTCCTTCCTTCCTTCCTTCCTTCCTTCCTTCCGCCTCTGGCCCATCACCTGGTCATCTAGCACCTACTCGAACCTTCTCTCTCATCTCTAGGGCTTCCCTGCCCCAAGGCTTCTGGGGAAGCAGCGTCTCACGCATCCTCTCTCCTCCCAGCAAGGGGCCTACCAGGCCCCCTCTGCCAGGACATGGACTCATACAGCTGCCCCACTCTCCTTGAGGTCAGGGGCTGAGCGCTGCAGTCTCATTTGCGGGGGTGGGGGGCTAAGGGGGGTGGAGGGAGGAGTAGTGTATGGGGGGTAGCAGGGCCCTGGGGGCTGCTGGGGATAATAGTTGTGCTTTTTAGGCTGGAAGTGCTGAGGTTCAGGCTGTGCAGCACCCCCTCCCTGGGATCGGCACCCTCCATCCAGGGAGATATGCAGTCTTTTCTGTCTCCACAGGAAGCGCTTGGAAACAGAAAGGCTGTGTTGTGTTGCCATAGGCCTGTATTGGATGTTGGTGAGGGGGAGTAAGGGCTGAAGGCCATAGACCTGTGTTGGGTGTTGGTGAGGGGGAGTGAGGGCTGAAGGCTGGGCCAAGAGTAGGATTTGGATAGGCATGGTACCCAGGGCCACCGTCATTTCTAGTTGGGCCTGTGCCCACAGTAACAGCTGCTGTAGGGCTGCTGTGTGGAGTCAGAAGTCCCCTCTCCCTTCCTGTCCCCCCTGTAACCTTTCCCCAGCTGCTTGGTGTGGTGCCTGAAATCCCACCGCTCGTCACTCTTTGGGAGTGGTTCCTGTTATAAGTGTCCATAGGCCAGAAAGGGGGTGGCATCTCTAACCATAAGCCAGTTACCCTGAGGAACACAGGGGGGAAAGTTCTGAGGGAGGCATGGAAGGGAGGAGGAGGGCATTTCAGGAGTGCGACAGAGGAAGAGGGAGGGTGAAGGGGGACACTCCATGAGGCCGCCTCAAACTAGAACCTTAGAAATGGTGGTTGCCCCATAGCCCAGCATCAGCCATCCCTCTTGCTGAACCACTGAGGAGTGGACACCCATAAGGGAGCCATCCAGGGTTACTGGAGAGTCAGGACGGAGCTGGGGCCCACCCAGGCTGAGCAAGGATCGCCCGGGCCTGGACACAGCCCACGCCTGTGAGAGCACACGTCCAGCCAGTCTCTGCTTTTCCGGGGACCTCCTGGGTCTCTCACCCGCACCTCCTCCCAGTGCAGGCACAGCTGCTGGGCCCCACGTCCGTTCCTGTTCGTAATCTGGCAGTTTGGTCAGGGAGAGGCTTCAACGTGAGGTTGGCAGGGGGCGAGGAAGCAAGCCCGGGGAGTGAGGGGGCAAAGCCCCTTCTCTGGGAAAAAAGATTCCAACCCCCCAAGCCACCACGGCCCAGGGCTGACTCTGGTGCTGCAGCACTAGGATCCCCTTGGCCCTGGTTCCCTCTGCCCTCACTTACCTGCGACTCCCTGCGGCTCCGGCAGCTGCGCTGGTGGCTTTGTCCTTGGTGTGGCCCGTGCTGGCTCTGGACTCTGTTGCCAGTAAGGGAGGTACTGGGTGTGGGCAGGCACCAATGGGCTCTGTCCCCGAGGAGGGGCTGTTGGGGTCCAGGCCAATTCTCCCTTCTCCTTGGGCAGGAGATGGAGGAGGACACCCAACTCTTGGTGCCTGGGGCTGTGGGCCCCTGGCCACTCCCCTTCTCCTTCTGATCAGGCTCCAGGTTTTCAGGGGGTGGGAGGAGGCACCAGGATCCACAGGGGGAGGTTAAAGGTTGCGTGGAAGAGTGGAGGCTGTGAGTCGGGAGACCTGGTTGGGCCTGGCTTTGCCCTGCAGGCTGGTGTCTTCCCATTGGGTCTTGGTTTTCTTATCTGTGAAATGACAGAGTTGAGATCAGTGGTCTCTCAGCAGCCGTCCTGGAGTCTGTGATGCTGACCGGCATGCTCAGCTGGGCTGTCTCCACCCTGTAGAGAATTTCCGGACTCTGTGATCTGGAGCTGCAGTCCCCGATTCTGAGGGTACCCCCCACGCCCTGCTGACCTTCTTACATGGGGGTCCTTCTCCTCTGAGCACCTCCTTCCTCGGCCCTGCCCTGCCTGCTTCCAGCTGACCCTGTGCTCCTTTTCCTTGCCTGGGAGGGGCCCTCTCAGCTGGCCCTTCGCTCCCCCACCCTGTGTGCTGACTGGGAACCAGGAAGCCTGGGTTTTGGCCTTGGCTCTGCCTTGTGCTGTATGACCTTGAGCTAGAAACCAACCCTCTGTGGGCCTCAGAATTGGACTGGAAGGTCCATCAGGCTCCTCTGCATCCGGACTTGATCACATCCAGGCCCACAGTGTTGGGGAGTCATCAGGACCCAGCTTCGTGCCTCTAGTTCCAGCTCTTGAATGGCCCTCCCTTGTCAGACATCAGAACAGAAAGCCCTTAGGCCTTCATCTAATTCCTAGGGTGAGTGGGGAGCATTTTTCAACAGTAAGAAATAGAAGAAACTTGACATTTTGATAAGGCTTTTCTGTATCCAGGGTAAAAACCCCATAAAATTTCATCCAGGTAAAAGGAAACACAAAAATGAGCACATTTTGCTGTTTCTGCTCTGCTTTGCATAATTCCCTCTTCCATTCTGTGGTTCAGGATTTCCAGGGAACTAGGGGGAATCCTGGGTGTCTCCGTAAGAAGTAACCATGCCTTGGTGCACAATGATGATTCAGCACCTTGGCCAGCACCCATCCCCTCCACTTCCCCCCACTCCCCCCTCCAGCCCCCTGCATTTAAGCCTGTGACATGTCCTTTCAACTAACATCCTAGGGGCCGTGACCAGAGCTCGGACCCAGACAGGGGGGAATGCTGCCCAGCTGTGAGCAGTCAGCCTCCCAGGATGGCCTCTCTGGCAGGAGGGAAGGCGAGTCCCCAGAGCCCCAGGGCCGAGCTCTGTGCTGCCAAGAGACTTTATCTCTGTTGTTTTCTGTTCCTGCTGCCACCCCAGAGAGAAGGATCCGGAGTTAATGGCCTTGTTAGGTGCTGAGCGGGCCAAACCCTGAGACTAACATTAGACTTACAGAATCCTGAACCATCAGAGCCAGGACCTTGGCTATCAATTCACTAGATCCCTAGCCCCTCCCCCCAAAGAGATGGGGAAACAGGCCCAGGAGAGAAGGGACCCGCTAAGCTTCACATAGTGCCTTCACAAGTCCGCCCCTGACCTGGAAACACATGAGGCTTGGCTCCCAATTGAGGCTTAACTCACAACTGCACAATCCACAGTGGTGTGGAGCCTGGGCGAAGCTCCCACTTCGAATCCAGGGGGATCACAGTTCTGGGGGCTGCTTCCTGTCACTGATGCCGTCCTCATGTTGAGATGTCCGGGGAGGTCCAGGAAGAGTCTGGCTCTAGCTTTGGATGGGCCTGGTTTCCAGCTCTGCTGAATATTGGCTGTGGGTGCCCTGGGAAGTCATGTTTCTCCACTCAGACACTGAGATAATGATACCAACTTCACGGGCTTATCTTAAAAACGACCAGGCTGCTGCACTGCACCACTTACAGTGTGCACAGCCTGTGTCCACATGCAGGGCTCTGCCTGACTCCTGGCCAGGCTGCTTCCCCACCAGTCAGAGGTAGAATGCATCTGCTTCTACACAGCAGACCTGGGGGCCTTCCTGGCCTAGGTGGTCCCACACTCCACATAAGGCACAGGCAGGAAATAGACGCCTTAGGGTCAGAGCCAATCCAGAGGTTCAGGAAACTCACCTGGTTCCAGGCACTGGCTCTGGAGTGAGGCAGCTGGAGTGAGGCAGGGCCTCCCTAAGGCATTCCATTTTGCAGCTTATTGATACTTCCTGTGAGATTGGGTTACTACCCCCATTTTCCATGTGAGGAAACTGAGACCCAGAGACATTACATCATCTCTTTAAAGTCACACTGTGATGGAGCCTGTATTCAAGCCCAGGTCTGTGGGATTCCAGAGACCAGGTTCTTGCCACTGTGTCATGAGCTCCGCTCTGCAACCAAGGCTACCGCCACCCTCTTCCCAGGCAGACTGCCACTCTTCCCTGGCTAGTAAGTGTGATGTGAGTAGTGGCTTCAGAACTTGGTTCTAACCCATGCTCCATCACGTACCCATGTGGGACAAGGAACTGTAGGCGATGCCCTCTATTTTAACCTCACTTTTCCACTCCTGTAAAATGGGCATAATCCTAGCTACCCAGTAGAGTGCTTTCTGTATTCTAATGAATGTAGACTGCCTGAGACACAAGACGTAGGCCTTTTTGTTTGTCAAAATGAAAGAAATTGACCACTGGTATCCTGTAACTTTAATTTAGTACAAATTCACCATAACTCACAAAATGGGCAACATTTAAAATAAAAATACTGCTGGGGGTGGCCCAGATTCCGGTAGATGAAGGGGTTGGGTGAGACTGAGGATTCCTCCTGCCCATGGGAGGCCCCAGTGGGCAGCAGTTGTGAGGTGAGAGCCCCCCGAGTTCAGCTAGTCTGGCTCCTTTGGGATGGGTGTGGTCAGAGACTCCAAGTTCAGAATCTAGGCCCAGGCCCAGAAAGAAAAGTCAAGACTGGACACATTTCAGCCTGGTCCTGCGGGCCCATCTGCTGGGCTCCTGCCCCTGGGCAGGGACTCCGCATGGAGCAGGAAACCTGCTGCTTCAAAGCCAAGGTCTGGACGCACACTCGTGGCAAAAACCATGGATGGGCTTATTCAGCATCCATCTTAACGTCCTTCTAATGGGCCTTTTTGTATGGCTGAGGCTAGAAAGAAGACTACATTCCCCAGACTCCCTTGCAGCCAAGGTTTTGGATCTGATTTCTAATTCCCCAAACAGAATCCCTCACGGAGACTTGGATTTGGGAACTGAATTGAGTGGGAGAAGGCAGGCCTCAGGACATCCATTTGCCGGGAAGCGTAGCAGAGGGAGCACAATTCTGCAGTCAGCGGCTTCCGGAGGCAGTGGTTTCCTGCACACGGGAGCAGCGTTCCTGGTCAGGAGAGACACGATGAATCTGGCAGCTGGGAGCTGTTCCTGGAAATTCAGCAAAGTGTCTGCTCCTTCAGCCCCTCCAATGGTTTTGTAAAGCCATCAGGGACCTGGTAATAAATCCTGTCTAGTTAAACGAGCGACAGCAGCTCTTGTTTTCTACGTCAGGATCTTAACAGCAAGCCCGATGAGAGGTCCCAGCCAGCAGGCCGTTCCAGTACTCAGGTCCTGATGAAACAGCTGCTCCCTGCAGCCTGCTCCAAGCCCTCGCCTGTCACAGAGGTCAGGCTGGACCCTTATCCAAGCCTCAGCATCAGGGATGTTTGTCCTGCAGCTGTCTTTAGGCGACTGGGCTCTGCATCTGCCTCGGGGTGTGCCATCACCCTGCCTTTAGACCTGCTGGCAGGAAGGTGGTGGCACCGTGACTGCAACGTGGGCTCAGCTATTGGCTGCCGTCCACAGGCCACAGCACTGTCTTTACCTGCAGAGAAGTTGGAACAGCAAGAACCATAACGCTCTTGGTCCGGAGGAGGAAGGAGAGTGGTTTTGAGGCCACGCTGGGTCCAGCTACTGCCTGTGTCCACTGTGGGCTGGGGTCACGGGTAAAATAGCCCATCACTAGCTTGGTCAGGGACAGTCTTAGGCCTGGGAGCCCAAGAGGGTTCTGAGTGTCTTCCGAGCTGCCAACTGCTGGCAACCACTCTGACATGTCCTGAGGTTAGGGCATGCGGGCAGGAGGGAGGTATAGGGAGACAGCCCCCTGCCCCGGAGAGGATGGGGATGAGGGTTGGGCAGGGGCTGCCCTGAGGAGAAGCCAGGTCACACTCCTGGACCGAAGATGCATCCCCATCAAGGTCAGAGCTTAAGAACATCAATGCTGGGAGGGTTTAGGAATCATGGAGCACAACCTCCATTTTACAGACCAGGAGAGGGAGGCCGAAGGGTAGACCAGCCACCTGAGATCTCAGGCTGGCCGGGCGGGAGTCCAGGCCTCCTGTCTCCTGGGCAGACTCCTGCTGATGGCCAGGGCCCTGGCGCCTTCGTGTCCTTCGCGACATCAGATGCGGACGGTGTTGATCCGCAAGGGCTGCACATTCTTGCCATTGGCGTGGCTCTGCCCGGGGCTGAAGTAGGAGCAGAGCTTGCCCGGGAACTTCTCGCGGAAGGTGTAGAGCCAGGACATGTCGTCCGCGTTGTAGAAGATGAGCAGGCCTTGGTCGTAGTCCAGGAAGACGCCCACCTTGTCCAGCTTGTCTCGGACGTTGAGCCGCGTCCAGGGCTCCGTGCAGGCGCTGTACTGGTTGCCGTCGTGCATGACGATGCAGTAGAAGCCGCGGCTGGGCTGGATCTGGATGCTGCCCTTGCGGCTCGCCGCCTCGTGTGCCAGCCCGATCACCCACTGGGTCTTCTCGGCCACCACCACCTCCCAGTAGTGGACGCCGCCGCTGAAGGCCTCGGAGCCCAGCACCGACACCTCCACGTCAAAGCGCTTGGGCGAGTCTTGCAGCGGTTGTGGGTGCAGGTTGCCATAGGCCACGATGGTGCAGTCGTCGGACAGAATCAGGCGCTGGTGGGCGGTGCCCGGGTCCAGGGTCAGCGCGGCTGGCACTGCAGGGGATGGAGGAGAGAGACATGAGTGGAGAGCAGACTATGGACCCATTCTGTGGTACCTCCCTGAGGGTCAGATTCTGATTGGTCCCCAGGAGGCTGTGATGCTGAATACAAGCCTCCCTGGACCTCAGCTTCCTTTCCTGTAAAATGGGAGGGTAAAGGCTGAGGTCCTCCCAGATGTCACTTGGCTCAGGGGGGCACGAGCTATGCTGCTTGTTCAGGGAAGATGCCTGGGGCCATATAGTGGGCACTCCACAAAAGTTTGTTGAATAAACCAGAATGAGGCCCAGAATTAGAGAATTTCAGAGCTGGAAGGGAGCTTAAAAGATTATCCAAGGGCTGGATAGTCCCGTAGGGGGTGATTTGGAAATTTGTGGGAGGTGTTTGGATTGTCTCAAAGATGGGATTCAGGCATGTTAAATGCCCTGAATGGAACGCACAGGGCAGCCCCAGGCCACCCCACCAATAATTTTCAAATATTCCACCAGGCAATACTTTTTATACAGTTTTAATAAATATTGAGTATTTTGGAATACAACTACCATGCAAACTGAGGAAAGACTAAGTTTGTTTTGTTTAAAACTTCACGGAGGCCCAGCCAGTGTGGCTCAGTGGTTGAGCATCAACCTATGAACCAGATCATGGTTTGATTCCCAGGCAGAGCACATGCCCAGGTTGTGGGCTTGATCCCCAGTGTAGGGCGTGCAGGAGGCAGCTGATCAATGATTCTCTCTCATCATTGATGTTTCTAGCTCTTCCTCTCCCTTCCTCTCTGAAATCAATAAAAATATATACTTTAAAAAAATCTTCACTGAGAATTGTTCACATTTTTGGAAACTAAATCTTTAAGAACAAGGCCACTGACTGATATAAACTACCTGTTCCGGCTGCATTTGAGGCAGAATGGTGTTTTACCTGACTACTTCATTATGTTTTCTAGTGTGGTTGTGAGTGAACATTTACATAGTGACATACACAACATTTTATTACAGATAATTTCCTTCTGCTTTTCTTTTATATTATATACTAGTGGCCCAGTGCACGAAATTCGTGCATGGGTGGGGGGTGGTTCCCTCAGCCCAGCCTGCACCCTCTTCAATCAGGGACCCCTTGAGGGATGTCTGACTGCCGGTTTAGGCCCGATCCCTCTTGCAATCTGGGACCGCTGGCTCCTAACTGCTCACCTGCCTGCGGGCCTGATCACCCCTAACTGCCTCTGCCTTGGCACCCACCACCATGGCTTTGTCCGGAAGGAAGTCAGACATCCAGAAGATGGTCAGTCGACCCAGTCTAATTAGCATATTACCCTTTTATTAGTATAGATTATAGTCAGTGTGTATATACGCATGTAGATGTATATATATTTTATATATTATATATACTTAAAATTATTAAAAGGTCATTCTATCTTTGAGACATTACAAATTATTTGCTATGAGAAGTAGATAATGGGTCTGATAAAGCTGAAAACCACTGATTCTAGGCCCACCCTCCCATTTGACAGATGAGGAAACTGAAACCCAGAGAAGAGACATGACTAGTCTCAGGTGATTCAGCAAAGCCAGGACTAATGTAGGCCATGTGCAATCCAGCCCCAGCCCTCTGTTCCAGTCTACCTCTCAGCAGCTGCTCCGCATCCCACTCAGGCCCAAGGCCTTCACTCAGACTGTGTCCTCCCCCACCTCCTCTCTGCTTGTAATCACCCCCCCCCCCCCACAAAGCTCAATTCCATGGCTGATCCCCTGGGAAACCTTCCTGGTTACCCAGCAGGTGTGCTCACTCTTTCCTCTGAGATTCTCTAACTTTGGGCCCTTTCCCAATATATATATATATATATATATATATATATATATATATATATATAAAATATATTTTATTGATTTTTTACAGAGAGGAAGGGAGAGGGACAGAGAGCCAGAAACATCGATGAGAGAGAAACATCAATCAGCCGCCTCCTGCACACTCCCCACTGGGGATGTGCCCGCAACCAAGGTACATGCCCTTGACCGGAATCGAACCTGGGACCCCTGAGTCTGCAGGCTGACACTCTATCCACTGAGCCAAACCGGTTAGGGCTCCCAATATATCTTGTACCCACATCTTCCAGGGCAAGGACTGTGTCCGATCCAGCTGGCCTCTCCCTGTGTGCCCAGCGCGTGGGGAAGATTTCTGGGAAGGCTCACGCTATGAAGCTGAGCCAGCTTGTGTTATCTTTGGGCAGGCAGCGCAGGCTGGCTCACCTGGCTCTGGGCTGGCCACTGGCTGAGCAGGGCTGGCTCTCAGAGTCTCATGAACGCCTGTCTGTTTACTCTCGCCTCCCTGCGGGAGCTGATGCCCAGCGGGAAGAAGGGGAACCTGGAAGCCAGACGACCATTGCCAGGCCTGAGCAAGGCAGAGGGGAGGGGAGGTGGGGAGAAGGAATCCTGTCACCACTTCCTTGGAGTGAAGGAAGGACTTCATCCGGCTTTCTGGAACTTTCCTTCTCGGTGAAGCAGGGACATGGTTACGCTTGGCTGGAGCACTGCCCCTACGTCAAGCACCTCTGTTGGCTCTGTCCGTGCACAGAAATAACACGCCTGAGACTGTCTCCAACGGACAGCAGCAGACAGCCCTGAACGCTGCTTCTGTTCATACATCCGCTCACAAAGCTGCCCTCTAACCTACCAAGCTCCTTCCAGCGGCTCTGTCAGAAGTGAATGTAGTTTTACATTTTACACTTTTCTTTCCTGTTCTTAGAATTCAGAGAGCTGCATGGGAACAATTAGCCCTGTGACTAGAGGGGCCAATGGAAATACAACTCTCTATCCAGGGACATTGAGGGGGGGGGGGCATGAGAAGGAAGACACTGCATCAGAGTATGAATGTGTTACCCTGTCATCTGACTGGTCACGGTGCAGCCGGTCAGAACCACCAGGTTCCTGCCACTGGAACGGAGGGATTCCCGCAGAGGGGTCAGGAGTAAGAGGTGGAGGGGGTGGAGGACGTGTGTGTGGTGTGGGGAGGGGGAGCTAGGGAAAGAAGAATGTCATCAGGCACGGATGGGCCACTCCTCCTGGCGGTGGAGGCGGGTCCGATGCAGGTGTCAATTGCTGGGTCAGAGCGGGCACAACGCCAAGGTGTGGGCAGCAGCAGTTCCGAGTGCTCGCAGGAAGCTGGGCCTGATAGCTGAGGTGCCTGGATGATTTGAGGGGACCAGCAGCAGGCAGGAATCGTGGCTCAGGGCAGAAGGACCAGGGGGGAGACTAGACAGGCAGGAGGGCTCAGCCCCCGACTCTTAAGCCTAGGTAGCATCGCAGGCCAGTTCCGGTGCCACTGAGAATGGGGAGGCCGCTCTAGGGCTCAGCCCAGTGCACTGTCGCTGTCGGTGGTTCTGAGATTGGGCCGACAGAAGGGAAGGGAAGGAGGTCCTGGGCACAGAAGCCGGGGACTGGATGAGGGCAGGGCACACCACTCATTGGCAGGGGAGGCAGAACTAGGGGGCGGAGCCTGATAACAGGGGCCAGGGCCCAACATCTCAGGGGCAGGGCTAGAGCGGGCCCTGGTGTTCTTATTAGGCAGAAGGCGTGGCCTGAGTCTAAGGAGGCTTTTACACCCCAAAGGGTGAGCTGACCACCTCTAGGGCCTCCCACCTCATCATCAACAGAGGGTCCTCACCCCCCTGAGGCCAGGGCTAGCAGGAGTTAACAGCCTTCAGCTCAGAGAGAGACCAGCACCTTCTCTCCCTTTAAGAAGACAGGCAATCCCTCCGCCCATCCTTTATCCTCAGGAGAGGTGACCAGGCAGGGAAACAAGCCCATTTCCCAGGGGTTTACTATCTTAGAGGTCAGAGCGCCTTCCTAGGTCCCAAAACACTGTTTCAGAAAAACAACAAGCAGGCAGCCTGTCTGGTCTCCAGGTAGATTCCCAGTCCACTTAAGCCTCTCTGAGACCTTGAGGCTAAAATGCATTTGGGAAGGAGCATGCACTGTGGAGGCCTCAGGAAATGTCTCTGGGCCATCGTCACCCCCTCGCTACCGCGGTCCAAGCAGCAGAGAAACCCCGCCGTCCAGCGCCACTGCTTGGCAATGAGTGGCGCGTGCCTCTCTGTTCTCAACGACAGTGGCTTTGGGCCTGCACCGCCCAACAGGACAGGAGATACCGTAAGCTCTTGCCTCTGGCTAGGCCTCCCACCCACTCAGACTCTCAGCTGCACAGCGCTGGCATCTGTAAAGCATTTCACACCTATTAGCCGATGGGAATACCATAGCAGCCCCAGGAACACAAATGACTGTACCCATTTTTCAGAAGAGGAAAGTGAGGCCCTCGAACTTCAGTGGCTTGCTCAAGCTGCTACTTGGGGTGGAAGTAGCATTGGAACATGCGTTAAGGTCTTTTCAAACATGTTCTTTCCTTGATGTGGCCCCAGAAAGCCTGTTCAGTAAGACTGAGGAACCATCTGATGTTCATGATAATAATGACAAGCAGGTATCAAGTACTAAGTGCTGGCTAGTTATCACAAAGAAATGATTTTATTTAATTCTCACACCTACCCAGGGAGGATAAGTTATACTTTCCCGATCGACAGATGAAGAAACAGGCTCAGAGAGGGCAGCGATTTGCCCTGGTCACACAGCTAGGTAGGCAGGGAACATGCTGGAACCCAAAATGACTGGATTCAGATAAGCAGGGGCGGAGAGAACAGGCCAGGAGAGGGAGGTGGTAGGAAAATAAGGGAGCAGTGTCTGGTGTCCTTGGGACAATGGCCACCTGGCCTGGCTGGGGAAGAAGTGGATGCCTGGGAGCTGGGACAATCAGGCCGGGCAGTTATAGGAGGGTTTCCAATGTCAGCTGAGGGGTGGGATGGGGGAGGGGGTGTTAGTAGAGAGTGGAAGTTCCAGAGCAGGGGTGAGGGGATGCGGAGGAGTGACAGGTGCTACATAAAGTTCTCAGATGAGCCAACCGGGAGCTTGAGCTGCCAGGGGGGTGTACAGGAAGCTGCTGGAATCCATGGGCTAGGTCCCTGGGGGTGCCTGCCCCTCCCATCTGGACATAAAGGGCCTTGGTGCTGGCAGAAGAGCCAGAGTGACTTCACAGGCCCTACAGACAAAGGAAGGGCACTGTTCTCTGAACGCCCCAGGGGCCTCTGTCCTTGGCAGGATGTTGGGGCACATGTTCCTCTGCTCCCTCAGCCCCTCTCCCTGCGGGCAGTGGTTCTCGCTGGGGCGCTCTGCCTCGCAGGGGACCTTGGACAGACGGAGGCATTTCTGGTTACCACAACTGGGGGAGGGGCGGGGGGCGGCATCTAATTGTGTAGACATTAGGGGTGCTGCTAAACATCCTACCATGCACAGGACAGCCCCCCTACAACAAGGAATTATCCAGCCCCAGGGTCAACAGTACTGGGGTTGCGAAACCCTGACCCAGGTCACGCAGGGAGTTCCCACAGCCACGTGCTCTCTGGCGAGGGAGTGCAGACGGGAGCACTAGCATCCCTACTTCACCGGGGAAGAAACAGGCTCAAAGGAGGAAGGAGCTTGTCCAAGAATATGTGGCAAGTTCCTTCAGTCAACAAACGTCTGAGTACCTACTTTATGCCAGATACCACTCTAACTGCAGAACTGAGACTGGGACTGGGACTCATTTTTTAAATTCATTCATCAATAGACGTTTACTGTGCTGGCTGCTGGGGATCTGTAGAGGTGAATTAGACCCAGCTCTGGACCCGTTGGAGCTCACAGTCTAGTGAGAGACAGACACACATTCATGGACAAAACAGTGAGGCCAGGAAACCCACGGCTACCTGGAGAAATGCAGGAGGGCTTTCCAGAGGAGGCATTATAAACTAAGATGTGGAGGAGGTGGGAGTTAGCCATCGTAGACGGAGGCTTCCATAGAGGGTTGCAGGCTAGGGAGCAGCATGGGTGAAAGTATGGAGGAGGGAGAATATAGCCCATAGGGCCTTGTCAGGCTGAGATGCCCGGGTTGCCTCTGTGAGCTGTGATAGGGACGCAGCAGGTGGTGGCTGAGGCCATCTGCCTGAGGGGCTTTCCTGGGTCAGTGGCTGGGGAGGGAACAAGACCCTCGGACGTGCTTCTTGCCTCCTTGGCTGGGTCCCCCTCCTGTCCCCGCCTGCCCCAAAGCTCCAAATGTTAGCATGGTCCTCTCTCTCTTCCATCTACCCTCACTTCCTAGGTGATCTCATCCGGGCTCATTCAATACTGCCCACATGCCCAGGATGCGGCCCTGACCTTTCTCCTGGACTGCAGACTCATCATCCCAACTGCCTTCTCCACGTCAGTACTGAGACATCTGATTGGCTTTGCAGACCTCGTGCTCACAAGTCCATCCTTCCAATCACCTCTGCCAAAGTCATTGCAGGCTTCCTTGTCTTCCTTCTCTCACACATGAGATCCAATCCATTAGCAAATCCTATCGGCAATCCCTTCAAAGTATATCCTAAATCCGATCACCCCTCACCACCTCCACTGTCACCTTCCTGCCCCAAATTCTCACATTGGCCTACGGGCCCTCAGGGTCTGGCCTCGGCTCTATCCCTGACCTCCTCACCTCAACTTCCCTTCTCACTCATTCCCTTCCAGCCACACCAGCCCCATTACTGCTCTTCGAACATGCTCTGGCCTCAGGGCCTTTGCTCCTGCTATTCCTGAGCCAGGAACATTCTTTCCTTGGATGAGGCCATGGCTCACTCTCCTTCCCTCAGGTCTTTACTCCCATGCCTCCTTCTCAGTGTGGTCCCCTAACTGGACCCCCTATCTAAAATCTGTTCTACCTCAGCACCCCCGAGCCCCCTTCCTTGTCTTTATCATTATTTAATAAACTATGCATTTTTCCTATTTACCTTTGTTTCTTCCTCTCTCACACCCTAGGATGTGAGATCCACGAGGGCAGGGATTTTTGCCTGTTTTGCTCACTGCTATATCTCTAGCACAGGGGTCCTCAAACTTTTTAAACAGGGGGCCAGTTCACTGTCCCTCAGACCGTTGGAGGGCCGGACTAAAGTTTAAAAAAAAACTATGAACAAATTCCTATGCACACTGCACATATCTTATTTTGAAGTAAAAAAACAAAACGGGAACAAATACAATATTTGTATTTGCATGTGGCCCGCGGGCCGTAGTTTGAGGACCCCTGCTCTAGCACCTAAAATAGTGCCTGGTGTGAGGTAGGTGCTTTATACTATATACTGTACTTACAGAGTGAATGAGTGACCTGCCAGGGCCTCAGTCTCTTCATCTGGAGAATGGGTATACTAACAAAACCTACCTCCTGGGGTTGTATGAGGATTCTTTGAGCTGAGTGATTGTGTAGGTGCCCAGCATAGGCTCTGGAACATAGTAGGTGTTCAGCAAGGCACTCTTTTCATCCCTCGGCCCTGCCCCCTTCCTGTGTTTAGAAAAGGGGGCTGGGCTGGGATGTGCTCAAGAGGCCTCAGTCCATGATAATCCTTGCCTCTTCCTGGACTCTCTTGTCGAGAGGCAGGCAGGGCCTTACCTGGGTGGATGTCCTGGAACAGGGACTTCCAGATGGTGTACTGCAGGGGGCCTGTGTACTTGGAGGTTGGAAAGTCTTCATATGTCAGATTAGTCTCATGGATTTTCCCTTTAAGCCTGGAAGGAGAGCAGGAGAGCAGGTTGCATTGGGGGCTGGATTCCTGTCCCAACACTGGCCACCTTCAGGGTAGCTGACACAGGGTGAGGGCATGTGTGTGAAGGAGCCGGACCCACATTCAAGTGCCTGCTTACACCGCTTCCTACCTCTCTAGCTGTCAGCCTCAGTTTCCTCCTCTTTAAAAAGGGTACTATATGGCATCTGCCTTCTTGGTCGGAAGGATTACGTGGCATAACATATATAAAATGCTCTGCACAGTGCTTGGCTCATGGTCAGCACCAAATACATGATGTTAACTATCAGTATTGATCATCAACAGACCAATAATTAAGTGTTATTATTATTAAAGGTGGCGAGGGACCAGAGAGACCAGGGGTTGAATCCTGGCTATCCCACATACTAATGAGGAGCCTTAGCCACCTGATCCAGCTTCTCTGTGCCTCCGTTTCTACGTGTGTGAAATGGGGATGATAGTGGTAACTACTTTCAAGGAGGCTATTTATTATATATAATATTCATGTTATTATAAATCACATAAATCTGTAATGTAACAAACATAACACAAGTAATACACTATACGTGTCTATGTCAATACATAAAACCTTTATCACAGACTCTGGCATACAACAGATGTCCTATACATTTGATAAAGATTTGAATGAATGAATTCTCTACTAACCACCCCCTCTGTCTCCATTCCTGCCAACTCGCATGGGCTAAGTAGGGTGTACCCATCTCAGGAAGGTCCCTGACAGGTGGCACTTGCCTCTCGGACAGTGAGGCCACCCCGGCCAGGAAGGTGTGTCGGTCGGTTTCGGCCAGCCGCTCCTGCAGGATCTGGGCCCCCTCCTGCACCTTGCGCAGCTGCTGGCTGTAGCGCTGGACTTTCTGCTCAATGTCGGTCAGTGTGCGCGCGGTGTCGGCCTCCAGCTCCTCCAGCATGGCCTTCTGCCGCTCCCGCAGCAGCCGGTGCAGCCGCTCGAAGGCCTCGCCAATAGTGGTCCGCAGGCTTTTGGTGGAAGACTGGGGGGACAGTCATCAGGGGTTAGATTATGGAGAGCAGGTGGGGTGACCCCTGGATGAGAGGAGG